GATTCGAACCCGGGACCTCTCACATGTTAAGCGAGAGACATACCACTAGACCACGGAACTTTTTTTCTCTTTTATTACTAGACCATGGAACTGCTTTACCCTTATTTAATTCAAAAAGTCTTTAAATGAAGCTTGAAAATTAAATATTTTCATGCAACAATTATCATTATAAGCCTCTCAATGTGCTTCAAGGTTCTTTGCAAACCTCCATAAATCACTTCTAATTTCATTTCATGTTAATAAACATTGGTATCTAAAAATGCTTTTACGGGATAAAAATTTCTACATTGAATTAGACCATTCTGAGAAGTTCAAAGAACGAGTTGTCCTTCCTTGCTGAGGGTAAGAGTCCCAAAGCTTCCATTTTAAGTATAGATATGAGCCAAAAATCCGTAGAAAGTGTTTTTACTCTCTTAGCAAACTGTAATTTTTTTTTGTTTTTGTATCATTTTGTATTTCTATATGACCTCTTTACCATATGTGAAAATAATAAGAAAAAATTTAATATAGGGTGCATAAAAAAGCTTAAATATCCTAAAGTTTTAAGAAAAATAGAGAAAATTCGTGTTTTTCTAACTATTTTTGTCAAATTGGTTATATCATCTTATAGACCCTATATAGTAATATCTTTTTAATGAAAAAAGAAAAACATTTAATCTTTTGCAATATAAGAACTGATCATATGATTGGATGCAGTCATTTTTAATTCTTAATGTCAAGGGAAAAGGTAATGATCTTGACCTGACCTTGACTCAAATATAAAACGGTCAGAACTTATCTTACTGAAACTTTCACTTAGTTATATTGTCTTCTTGATTCTGTGAAAATTTATTCATCTTTAAGTTTTGTGTAAGAAGAATCCTACCTTAACTATGTAATCTGATACTAACTTCTGATCTCCCAGAGCAAAACATGGACTTTGCCAGTATAACAAAATGGGTTGTGGAGGTATCATTTTGTGAACCCAGTACTCACAGTACCTCACAAACAAAATGTAGAGCCTGATCAGACCTGCGTTCGCAGACCTTTTCTCAATACATCGACGCAATATATACATTTTTTGTAGAAATCATGGAAATGTTAAATTTACGTCATTTTCGTGACGTCATATGTAAAATATGACGTTCATTGACATGAAAATATTCAGTGCTTTGAAGTCAGCATATATCCCCATGTTTTAGAACATCATTAAATATTTCTCCGTTAAAGTTTGATTTTGGGGGCAAATATAGGTTATTACTGAATAAAGTTCTTTGAACACATTATAGTGTACTTAAGTCATTTGAAGAACTGTTTACATTTTGTTCTTATTCTACCTTAAACTATTCTCTGAATGGACTGAAAAATGCCTCTAACATCAGATACTACAAGTATCAAACTTTTTAAAATTTAGTTTTAAAAAAGAAAGATGAAGATCTTTGATAATTGTTTAACAGTTTTGTTGCAATCCAAATAGCAGTAAAATTGAAAAATAATGCTATAGAACACATAATGTCTATTTCCGTACATGTAAAAATTAAAAAAAAAAATTAGAATATATATTTGGTAAAATAAATTTTATAGGATGTTTTTCTGCACAGGACAAACCCTGTAAGTAGCTGACGTCAGTCATTAAAATTCTACTCATCAATCATTTCTTTAAACCAGTAATTATTCAAATTTGATGAGCAATTACCGGTATTTTGAAATATTTGTTTTGAAGTAGAATTGCTTTTCAGTGCTTTTTTGTATTTCAAAAAGAAATAAGAAATTAGAAAAGATAATAACTAATCTGAATTATTAAAACTGAAAAAGAGAACAACTTTGATAATAAAACTGTCAATAATTCAATAAGTTATTCAAATAGATCATCATTATCAAAAGATTTTTTTCTTTACATGAATAGAAGTCTTTTCAACAAATAATCTTGAGTCTTTAAAAGTGCATTGCACTCCTGACCATGCAAATCTAGATCATCTGCAGCACAGACATACCCAAATCTACTAGTACCGGTCTTGTAGAATACGCTTTCCCCCTAAAATCTTTCCCCCCGGAAAACTGGCTCTAGAGTAGAATCCCCCCCCCCGGAAAACTGGCTTTAAAGTAGGATTTCCCCCCAGGAAATCTCACACCGGAGTCAATTTTCCGGGGGGAAATCCTACTTTGTGAAGAAGTTATAGAGTGCCCCATTTCCCCCAGAGCCAATTTTCCCCCAATGAAATACAATTGCTTTACTTATTCTTGAGCAAGAATGGCTGGCACATTGCTACAAGTGTCAATTTTATCAAAATGGTGACCAGATGTAGTGAACATACGTATATGAAAATTGAACATGAAAATTTTGAAAATTTTAAATCCGTCAAACCATTATCTTAATTAGATAAATTGATGAAACTGGAGAGGACTATAATTTTCATCTGTTTTCCGCACCATTTTCTAAATGCTTGAAGACATTGAATGGATTTTTAGTATGTAGAAGGATATCTTGAAGAGTTCAAGTTTGAGTTTAGTGTTGCTTCCATTTTAAAAGGAATTGCGACCTTTTCATTTTTAACGGTTTACCGCAATGTTTTTTCGAAACGATTGGAGATATTGAGCTAATTTTTGGTAGGTTAATTTCAAGTTTGCATTTCGTTCCACTGAAATATATATACCAGTCTAGACATCCATTTTTTGTTTGTTTCATCAAATTTTTAGAATATTTACATTTCTTTTCAAAACTATATGTTTTGGTTGAGATTCCATAATCCATGATTGAAATATATGCTTTAAAAATTCTTACAATATAAGTCTAAAAACACTCATTCACCTTTTAAAAATCCGTTTGTAGTTTATCTTTTAAAAAAAATATTGCGGTTGTGGTTTATATTGACTCTATTAAGAGGGGGTAAATCCTACTCTGAGAAAGAAATTAAAGAGGGGGGAATTTGGCTCTGGTGTGAGATTTCCCCTCGAGGGGGGATCCTACTCTAGAGTACGATTTCCAGGGGGAGGCTTGCAATGGGGAAAATCCTACTCTACAACACAGGTATTTGGTAAAAATGTTCTTTGTGTCATAATTTCCAAAATAAAAATCAGAGAATCAAACAGTGAAAAAACTTTTGTCATGCTTTGGAGCAAAGCATCAAATCTTGCACATATGACATAAGTGGGTATGTACAGATACTCTCATTAATGCAGTCTTGTGATCTAACTTATTTTTTTTTTAGTTTTAAGCTATATATCAGTTATAATTTTACACTTTGAAAACTCTTTTTTGACTTGAATATCTTTCAGATTTTTTAAATCTATATATTTTTGCCACGCTATTTTTTTCGGTTCCATTGCTGAGGTGGTACAACGTGCGTGAATAACATTTTTTTTCAACATCAGCCATTACCACAACTTCGTCAAACAATTGTTGCTACAGACTACATTTAAAATGGAAAGCCTTTATTTTAAACATAAACCATTATTATTATTTATTTCACAGGCCTTTAAAAATGCTGTTTTTCAAAATATCACAAAAAGTGTTGCGCTCCTGACATTTTTAGCTTTATTTTTTGTGAATTGAGATATCAATCAGATATTTGACATGTATTTAGACCCTAATTAAAGACGAATGCTGAGACATAGACAATTATTGTAATTGCCCGTATTTTTAGTACAGGGTGGTCTTTTTTTTTTAAACTCACCCATACATCATTTTGCTATTATTTTCTATATAATTTATGATGATCATTTCGTAAGAGCGATATTTTCAAAACATTTTTTCTGTCAAAAATCCCTTGAAAGAATAATATCTGCCATTAGTTAAAATATAAATTCATACCTGATTTCACCGAATGCATAAATCAAGAATACATAACCAAATCCATACACTAGTGCCGAAAATATATTTTCACCTAATTTGCCGTTATAAAGGTAGATTGGACCAGACAAACACAGGAGAAATACCAGAAATGCGGTCCCTAAAAACTCGGCAAATGCTGGACGTATAAATTTATCTACCACTAAACCACCAGAATCGTTTCGTCGTGTCGTTTGAGCTTCGTTGGCCATCATTTTCACTGCAAACTGCGCAGTAAGCCAGTAAGTTTATTTTAAATCATGAAAATCGTTCATGTAAATTAATTAATCTACATTTGTGGCATTTCTTTTCAAACATAAACATATGATAATTTATGAGAGAGAGAGAGAGAGAGAGAGATTTCCGGGAGAGTCCTTCTGCTACGCGTAGCTACCAACGCTTTAATTTTTAATTTAATTTTGTGGACTGGCGCAAATAAAGTATTATGTAGAATGTACTAAAAATCTATAAGATTATAAATACAACAAGGCCACCGCAAAGCGGAGCTTTTCTTTGAAAATAAACATGTGAAACATTTAATTTCACTTTATGGCCTCACATGAGGCATAAAAGTACGAACAAGAAATAAATCAACAAAGAATTAACATATAAACCGGTTTATACAGGTATTGGAAGGAATTTCAAGAGTGAAATAAAGACATTACAATTTTACAAAATTTTACCAAACCAATTAAGGTAAATTTATCGTCACTGTTAAACAAACTAGCAAAACTATTATCAAAGATGAAAAAACCTTAAAAGCAGGATTTGTCATTTGAACTATTGCAACAAACATCAGTATAACAATAGTACTTATTACTATAATTATTTGGCTGAATGAGCCACAAACAGGAAAACTATTGAAAGTTGATAAATCGATCTCTCTGAATTCAATGTTATATCTGTCGTAATTTTGAAAAGTTTAGACTAACTAAAATAAAATTTTGAAGATCTTTCCAGTTGTTTTCTTAAATTCATATAAAGATAGGACTTTCCTGTAAATTACACAATTAAAATCAATTGAGCCTCATAGAAATCACAAATTTAAAACAATAACCGATTTTATTTCCGACTCGGAAATAGATTTAAGACACAGTTTGAAGTCAATTCAACTAAAAGAAACGTGAGAATATATACGTTCAAATAGGTGAAAATTTGAATTTGAACGTAAATAACAAATATCATGTAAATCTACGCTAATCTCCTATTTTTATTTTTTTTAGCTCAGATACGCCATATATAGCTTTAATGTGACGAATATTTTGTACAAAACATACTTGCAGGTAAAATTTTGTAGACATTTTGTAATTGTTTTAATGCATTCAAGAAAAAAGTTCTTTTTTTTCGGACAATAAAGTTTCTGTTCTTTATTTCTTTGCATCAGAAAACACATCAGAATTTACATTTATATATGCGTATATAGTATGACAGTATAACAAAATGAGAGTATGCATATACATTATAATAGCAAATATACAGCTGGACCTACAACAATAGGTCATTGAAATTATTGAACACATAAAATATTACAAATGATTCATTTCTCCATCAAGAAGGCTTGATATAAATACTTTCCAAGATTTCCAAGTTCCTTTACATTTTGTATACTTAGAAGTTGAATAAATTTCCAAACCCTAATTTTTCTTATATAAATTACTTCAATCTGAAATCATGATAAAAATAAATTGTAGAGTAAAATGGAATTCAAAGCTTAATTTTCCTAACACCTACCAGTTTCAACATTCAGATTTGCAAAAAGCCTAATTCCAACGATTTGTTTTTTATGCCAAAAAATCAATGGATAACGCAAATATATTCATAATTTATCAAGCAAAGCAGCATTTTTGGTTAATGCACGTTTGAATTGCGATTCATTCTGTAACTGCAGTCATTTCTTTTCCTTGTTGAATTTTCCCCCTTCCTGAATTATGTTAGTTTAACATCAGATCATTGTCGGGTCTTTCAATTCTAGAGCGCTGTGTCCATAAATACGGGGTTTTATGTTGTCTGTTTGTTGTGTCAAATAGGAGTCTAAAAAGAAATGTTTTTATTGCTCAAAAGACTAAAAATGTTTAAGTGACAAAACATTCCATAGTCTCTTTCGATGAGAGTTTTTTTTTTTAATTTTGAATTTAAAAATAATATTATCTTATTCAACAGAATATACCAGTAAAGGGAAACAATATTGATCGCCCTACGTTCAAAGGATATAAAGTTCGATGTTGAAGTTCATAGATACAAAAAATTGTTGTACATGTACTAGTATTTACGAATTAGAACTTGATTTAAAGTGAAAGCATTTACCAAAGTCAAACATACGGAGGGCAAAAATCAGATTGTGTCAAATTCACACAATCTTGCACTAATTTCATACTCATTGTATGTATTTTAAAAATCTTGTCGAATGACGTGTTTTTACTGCAAAAGAAACGGTACTTTTCTAAATAAAACAAGAATTTTATTCCTGCTTCTTATGGTCCATGCGTATGTTGCAAACCAAGCAAAACTGGTTGTGGCCGACGAACCATTAATATGCCGATTAAAATTTTAATGTTTTACATTTTGCGTCAGATGTGAGACTATATCTTATCTATAACCATTGCTTCGTTCAAATTCTCGAACGCATAATTATAAAATTATGAATGAACAAAGCCTTCTGCATAAGATATTTAATCGGTATTCTTTTCTTTTCATTATTAAAGAAAAGATTATATGTAAAACAGAAATGACATTTACCTATATATCAAGACTGCTACCAGTACACCAACAAAAGGTCCTACCCAGTAGACGTAGTGATAGTCCCAAACCCCTTCAATATGTTCATACTTTAAAGTAGAAACAGCCGGACCCAAACTTCTTGCTGGATTCATAGATCCACCAGTCACAGATCCTCTGATATGAAATTATGAAACAAAAAGGAAATTAGGAAGGATATGGAGATAACGAACAGTATTCAATATCAAAGTCCATAAAACAATACACAATTAAAGCAATACAAAATAGGAGCAAAGCAAACACAGACCTCTGAAACATCAGAGGTGGGATCAGGTACCATGGAACTTTATTTACTACATTTCGTCATGCTAATTAACTCCCATATTTCCTTTCTTATTTGCAGACATATTATATATAAGCTGACAAAAACAGGTCTCCAGCAATAACCATTATAAATCTTTACTTTAGTACATATCAAGATACGTCGCTCGCGTGGTGCAGTGGTTAAAACATTTGCTGTATAGCCGCGGATAAAGGAGTTAACTTGATCCCTACGTCATGAGTTCGAATCTCAGTCAAGTCTTTCAGATGAGACCGTTTTAACTGGGGTCTCGTGTCACAGTATGCGCTGTCACGAAAAAAAATCCTTTCTTCTCAAAAACCTTGAAGTTTGAATATAATTCTAAAAACTGCAGACCTCCATCGACATGCCCTGACGCCTCAAAATGAGTTTTAAAAAATCATGAGAGGGACGTTAAAGAAACATACAAACAAACAAAAACTGACGCCTCAAAAGGAGTTTTAAAAAACCTTGAGAGGGACGTTAAAGAAACATACAAACAAAACATATAAAATAGCACTTACCCTGCCATAACTCCCACCGTGACGGCAAAACCAATCGCCAGAGGTGCCAGCTTGTGTTTCTTTTCGTCCATTGTTGTTATCAATACGGTCAGAATAAGCATGAAGGTCAGGATGGCCTCCGTCAGAACACCCCAGCCGGGCCTCTTGCTAAGTATTGTAGCTCCTCCGCGAAGTAATTCGTAGTCTTGTACTGATAATATACCCTTATTAAAATGTAAGGAAATTTTGCTATGTAATATATTTTTATGAAAAAAAAAAGAACCCAAACAACACAAGGGATTGTAAGATGTAACACGAAGCAAAAGTAACAAAGTTAGGTTTTTTTTAATTTATTTATTTTCTCATTTTTTTGACAAATGCGTTATACCTGACGTCACATGTCATTCATCACATGTCATTCAAAAATAATCACCAAAGTTAATTGTTTTGAAATTAGGTCAAACATGTATGTCAAGGGGAAAGAACTCATAACATATTAGGAAACATCTTGTAATTGGTAATCCATATGAAAAATATGAAAGTTTTATCTTATCTCCACAATTGCATACAGTTGTAAGAAAATATCACATGTTGAAAAGTAAGTATACAGTAACTTGCTGGTCAAGGTCACAAAATCATAGTTCCTTTAATTAGTTCTTGTTCCAGGTACTATACTTTTTTTATATGAAAGCCTTTTCTTTTCGTACAACCAATCAAAAGAAATATTAAAATTTTTGAAAAGCAATTCAAACTGAAAGGTGATGGTTTAAAAATCATAGCATATTTTGAAAGTTTTGTAATTTACGTCGAACAGGAAGGCCAAGGGGTCAAAAATGACAGCAAGTCAAAGGTCAAGAATAAAAAATCATAGTGAATTTAGAAATTTCTTGTCACAGGTAATATATGCACATGTATAATATGAAAGCCCAAACTTTTTTCTTTCAAAAGTTATAGTCAGTTTAAAGTAATGTTAAAATTTTTGAAATGTAGGTCAAACTTCAAGGTTAAACTTCTAGGTCATAGGTTAAAAATCATAGTACATTTGAAAAAGTCTTGTCACAGGTAATGCATATGTTTATTATCAATGTCATTGATATCTTTTCTCATTCAAATTTTTTTACCAAGACAAAGTTTTTGTAACAAACTGAGAGACGTGCGAAAGGACAGAAGAACGGGATTTATCAATTGATGGTTCACGTACACAAAATAACAGTTTAATATACATGTACGTATATCGTAGAAGACTAGCAACATTATACATCAAGAAAATTATCAAGCTCATCCTTCCAACTATTTCAAAGGCCATATCTAGTCAATATAACGAAGCATAGATGCAATTCCTAGGTAAAAAAAAAATCATTCTTTGATCGATTTAAAGAAGATTTATTGTATACTGTTTAACGTCCCTCTGCAGAATATTTCACTGATATGGAGACGTCACCATTGCCGGTGAAGGGCTGCAAATTTAGGCCTTTGCTCGGCACTTATGGCCTTTGAGCAGGGAGGGGTCTTTATCGTGCCACACCTGCTGTGACACGGGACCTCGGTTTATACGGTCTCATTCGAAGGACCGCCCCATTTAGTCGCCTTTTACGACAAGCAAGGGGGTACTGAGGACCTATTCTAACGAAGAAAAATTGATATAAACTGAGTTAAAATTTTGAAGTATACATACAAGAACCAGAGCTGCCCCAATCAGGCCTCCAACCAACTGAGCGATGATATAACATACTGCAGAAAGAAGGGACACACCCCCACACAGAGCCACAGCAGAAGTAATGGCAGGGTTAAAATGCCCGCCACTACAAAACGTACATGCAAGAAAGTTTTATAAATTCCAGTTTAAGTCCTTTTTACATTGGAAAAATACAAAATATGGAACTGCACTTGGTCTCAAGTACGACGGCGTATTCGTGCCATATTGGCAATGTAAAAAAAAATAAATCGTTTGTACGATTTAGGAAATCGTCTGTACGATTTAGGAAATTGTTTGTACGATTTTTTAAATCGTTTGAACGATTTAGGAAACCGTTTGTACGATTTGTTAAATCGTTTGTACAATTTGTTAAATTGTTTGTACGATTGTACGATGTTTTTCTTTTCTGATCAAAATTTGTCTGTTGTCTGTCGTCATCGTCGTTGTTGTCGTTGGCGTCGTTGTTGTAAACTTTTCACATTTTCATCTTCTTCTCAAGAACCGCTGAACTAATTTCAATCATACTTGCTATAGAGCTTCCCTGGGTAAAGGGGATTCAAGTTTGTTCAAATGAAGGGTCAAGCCTTGTTCCATGGGGAGATAATTATGAATTAGAGAAAAATTAAGGGCGTTTTTTAAAAAATCTTCTTCTCAAGAACCACTGGGCCAGGAAAGATGAAACTCATGTGGAATCATCCTCAGGCAGTGTACATTTATGTTTCTTCAAATCGTGACCCCCAGGGCAAGGGTGGGGCCACAATGGCCAATCCAATTTTAACATAGGAATATATATAGGAAAAATCTTTCAAAATCTTCTTCTCAAGATCCATAGGGACAGGAAAGATGAAACTCATGTTGAATCATCCCCAGATAGTGTACATTCAAGTTTGTCCAAATCAAGACCCCGGGGGAAGGGTGGGGCCGCAATGGCCGATCAAAGTTTTACACAGGAAATACATCTTTTTTAAAGAATAGCAAAGCCATGATTAGTTATATTTATATGGATGCATTATAACATTGCTACAATATTCATACAGCGTAGTTAACAAGATACAATTTAATATGATAAGTGTTTCTGTACCTGTTTTACTCTAGCCTGCAGCGAAGAGAATTCTCTGCTTTACCAGTTTTCTTATAGATGCAATACAGTTCTGTTCTGAATCAGAGGAAAAATCGTCCAAACGATTTTCTAAATCGTTGCAACGATTTTTAAATTGTACTTTAAACGATTTCCTAAAATTGTTTGAAGGATTTATAAAATCGTTTGAACGATTTATAAAATTGTTTGAACGATTAATAAAATTGTTTGAACGATTAATAAAATCGTTCAAACAATTTTATAGATCGTTCAAAATAAAATTGTTTGAACGATTTATAAAATAGTTCAAACAATTGTAGATTTAGGAAATCGAACAAACGATTAAAAAAAATTCTACGTTGCCAATATGGCACGGATACGCCGTCGTACTGTGTCAAGCCAAGTGTAAATCATTTTTTATTTGAATTTTATCATATTTTTTTATCATTCATAAACAACTTAAAAGGTAACATAGAACAAAAATCAATAAATTTCATAGAGATTTGCACTTTGTAAGACTTCTGATTGTTTTATTTTTAAAGATTTTTAACTGTACACAATAATCTGATATTATGTCGGATATTCAAACCTACCTGAATTTTCCTAACCCTACAATGAGGACAACATAAGCAAACCCCTGAAGGAGACTCGATGCGATGCTGTAATCTCCAGGAGTCAAACACACAGAAAACACGAACAGTGTGGTTCCTATGAACTCGGCCAGGACAGGACGAACGACCTTGCTAAAAAAGGTAGAAGCAGGTGTCGTCTCCTGCCTATGAGTTAGACTTGTGTCCCCCTCAGCCATTTTTTACAGAGATAAAATATTTAAATTGCGCCTTACGAAATTACAAGTGTATTTGTTTTTGTGCAAGGGTTGTTCTGAGCAATATATTGCAGCGTGATAACCTAAAAAAAAAAACAACTTTGATTTGAGGAATGCAGAATATTACGGAAGCAAGATAGGATCATTTTTACCAAGATTTAAAAAAATAAAACATTTTAACGAGATATGTATATCCACTTAATTTCTTAAGAAAATCGTCGCCCGAGTGGCGCAGTGGTTATTCTAGAGCGTCTGCTTTAGAGTCGCGAAATAAGGAATCAATCCTTACGTACGTCGCGGGTTCGAATATTCAACTGTGGGACGTGGAGACCGTATAAACTGAGGTCCCGTGTCGCAGTAGGCGCAGGCACGAAAAAGATCCCTCCCTGCACAATTGCCTTGAGAGCCGAGTACAGGATAAAAATTGCAGCTCTCCATCGACAAGTGGTGGCCTCTCCATATGAGTGAAAAATTTTTGAGAGGGAGGTTGAACAATATACAATCAATCAATCAATCCAAAGAAAACCCATTGCCCTTAATCATTTCATGAACAACGCTAGGCATATCACCTGTAAAAATTTCTTGATCAGTTGCTGTTCCGTCAATGAAACGTACATAATAAGACGCACATATCAGTTATACAATAAATAATCTTTTTAATCAAAATTTAAATGATTACTTACACAGAAATAAAAATCATCATGTCTTTTTTTGATTGTTAGTACGGGAATAAATGTAGCAGCTTTTGCAGAATAAATCACATAATCCGTGTAAAGGAAAATACTAAGGTTTTAATATACATGTAATTACAATTGAAACAAAGCAGAAACTAATTGTTGTGCATTTAAATAGGAAATCTTTAAATTCCATTATTTTTGTTTGTGGATTTCTTTTTGCTTTTTCTGTATTTTGTAACGATACACTTCTAATTTAACACCAGGTCACCACCATCGAGTCTTTCACTTGTAGAACTTTGGCTCCACAAGTACGGGTTTTTACGTTGTCTGCCACTTGTTTCAAAAAGAAATCTGAAAGAAATATAAAATGGTTTTTTAATGGTTTTTTATTGCTCAAAAATGTCACAAAAGTATTGAAATGATTATAGATTTTTACTACAGTCTCTTATAATAAGAGATTTCTTTAAGATGGACAAAAAGTAGTGTACATCGGTGAACAAATCATTTCATTTAGGGAGAGGGCTAAAAAAGCTGCTGCCCAATCCCATTCACTTTGTGAATAAAATTTTGTATAAATAAAAAAATAATAAATTCTAAAATCCTTCAACTATTCACACGTCCAGAAAAAGGTGGTTTATTAACGACGTTCGATCCTGATATTTAAAGTCTTAAACTTTTTTTGCCAAGTATATTTTTAGTTTCTACATACATAGCTTAATTAAAATTCAAATCAAAAAATGAATGTCAATATGCTTCTTTTGGCGCTACAGTACATTGAATATGACCTTTTTGCACTGAAATTTGTGTCTTAATTAAAAAATTTAATTTTTGACATTTTCCCTCCAATATTTTTATCCAGTTAAAAGCATGAAACAAAATGAACTCTTAAGTTTGTTTTAAAAAAGACACTAAAAAATTGTGACTAAGAAAAAGTTTCATATTGCTTCGCATAACAAATTATTTGACCTTTCTGCACTAATAAAAAGTGATTTTTCTGGCATTGAAAATTTAATAAGCAAAAAAATCATTTTAAAGTCTTAAACTTTTTCTGATTTTAAGCAAATAGGTCAATTTTTTCTTGAATATTTAGAAAAGAACATCAAAAGCGGGGGTACATGATGTAAATTTTCAGATATTACTAAAAAAGTCAATTTTACGTTAAAATTGGCTCAATTTTTCTCATGTTGACAGAATTCATAAGAAATAATTTAATAGATATTTCAGAACCAGCATAACACATTTCACTGCAAAAACAGCTTTGTGCGCAACCAGGATGGAAAAATAAAAATCCAAAATTAACAGTACTGTTATCGTTCAAACTGGAAAAACTGATAATTTTCGTCTAAAAAACCTTCCGCCAGAAAATATAGTCCCTAGCTTAATTCTACTTGAATGGAATTTAATCGCGGGTTTTTCATTGAATATAGTTAAATTTGCCCTGTAGAATTCAGATTTAATGTTAGAATTTAAAAATGATACAGAATTTTATAAATAAAGGACCTGACCAAAATACGCTCAAAATCTCAGGATCGAACGTCCTTAAATACATCACTTGATGCAAGTTTGAGAGTGCTCATCTCTTGATACATCACTCATGCAAGTTTGCTTCAGACAGGCTTTATATGTGTTTGGCCTGCTCTAAAGACATAATATGGTTACTTATCTGAAAAATGTAGGTTAAATCCCGCATCTAATGCAACTCTGGCAATGTACACCAATAAAGTATCTTAGTTAAGTGCAAAGTTTTTTTAACATAGGGCTTATAATCACTTCATAAAGAAACTGCATTTAACCTGGTTGCTCATCTGAAAAATATAAGTCAGACATTGATCCGATGCAAGTCTGGAAATGTACATCCTTAAATTATCATCCACGCAAGTATGGTCAACTTGTGGCTTTATTAATTTACTTTAAAATAAAACCTGTTTTCCAAAAACAAAAACTGGACGCTTTAGATCCAGTCTGTTGTAATATGTGATTCTTATATGTATCATTTAAACACATGTAATCAACACGGGGCTGAAATTTCCAATATAATAACCAATATCTAAAAACTTCAATCTACATGCCCACTCATCCGTAAAATGTAGGTCAGATCCAGTATCTGAAACAAGTATGGAAGTTTTCATCTTTAAATGTACAGTATCTATTTTGTAAGTTGGGTTACCATAATGTTTACAAATACTTTATTTAGGATGAACATATTCCAAATACATTAACCTGCTTTGACATTCATCTTCAAAATGAAAGCCAGATTCAGCAACTGAAGCAATTCCACTAGTAGTGTTTCCTTAAATATATTACCCCCAGAATGTTCGATCAACATAAGGCTTATACTTACATAAGACTTACTAAATTTACTTACCTGGCCATTGGTCATTTGCAAAATTATTTTGTTAAAACAGATTCTGATTGCACACACAAGTACTCTGAAGCTGACATCAAACAGATGTTTGAGTTTCTGATTGACAATATCTACTCGTATGTGGTTTTTGAAGACCAGGTATTCCACCAATCTATCCGAATTCCCATGGGTACCAAGTGCGCTCCGTTATTAGTGGACCTATTTTTATATTCAAATAAAGCAGATTTTATGCAAAATCTTATGCGTGAAAAGGAGAAAACACTTGCTGTGGCCTTCAACTCGACATTTAAATATATCGACGACATATTGTCAATTAATAATGGTAATGGTAATTTCCATTCCTACATGTACGTCGACACGATATATCCTGGTGAACTCGAGCTACAGAGTCTGACAATTCTGTTTCATAATTTGATACTTTACTTGAAAAAGACGTTAATGGTAATCTAACAAACAAGCTTTATAATAAACGTGATGACTTTAACTTTTCTATTGTCAGCTTACCTTACTTATGCAGCAATATACCTTCATCACCTGCATACGGAGTATATATATCTCAATTGATTCGATACGCAGTGCTCTACGTATGAACAATATCTAAAACGAGGAAAACTATAATTGACAAGGAAGTTGATGAAACAAGAATATCAGCAGTCTCGCTTAAAGTAATCATTTTGTAAGTTCTATGGTCGATACAACGACCTTGTCAGCAAATACAATTTATCATTGAGTCAAATGCTGACTGACGTTTTTCATACTACTTGTTAGTCCATTAGTGATACAATGAACTGACGACGGATTTTTCCGTTATTTCCTGATCGTGACAAGGAGCACACTGTGGGTGTGACCGGTCGGCATGGGATGCTCACTCCTCCATGGCACCTGATCCCACCTCTGATGTTTTGGAGGTCTGTGTTTGCTCTACTCCTGTTTTGTATTGTGTTATGGACTTTGAGATTGAATATTGAATACTTACTCTAGAATGAACATTTTCTTAAAACTTTTTAGGTTGTTCGTGTAAAAATGTAGGTTAGATACAGCATGGGAAGCAATCCTAGTAGTGTGCATCCATAAATGTAAAATCCTTGCAAGTTTAGTCAACATAAGTTTAATATACTATTAGTTACTTTGAAATGGGACCTGCTCCAAAAACGTTAACTGGTTCACTCATCCAGAATATGTAGGTTAGGTTCAGCATCCAAATCCAGACTGACAGTGTGTATCGTTAGATGTATCTCTGATCAATAAAGGGCATAGAAGGACTTGAAAAGAAAGGCTCAAACACTTTAACCTTGAACCCTGACGCCATATCTATCACACAAACTTTTCCCGACTTCGACAATCGTTTAGATGAACTAAATCGATATTTTATGTTTTTTACCTATATATGAGAGTTGCTACCAGTACACCAGCTAAAGGTCAAAACCAGTAGATGTAGTGATATTCCCAAACTCCATCGATTTTATACTATAAAGTGAAAACAGCCGGACCCAAACTTCTTGCTGGATTCATAGATCCGCCAGTCACAGATTCTCTGATATTAATTATGAAATACATAAGAAATTGATTCTATTTTACAATTTTTCTTCATTCATGCCAACTGAAACACAACATTTTTTTTTATTTGTAGCCATACACTGATTAAAATCATTTTAATATGAAGATTTTACTGCAAATCCATTCTCAATTTATATTGATCAATAAAATTTGCCAGCGTTGAGCAGTGATTAAAGCATTTGCTCTAAAATGTCGGAGTAAAGAGTCAACTTAATTCTAACGTGGAAGGTTCGAATCTTTGTGCAGTACGAAAACGGCCATTCGAATGAGACCTATAAACCGAATTCTCGTGTCGCAGTAAATACTGTAACGAAAAAGATTCCTCACTGCCAAAAGGTCCTAAATGCAAAGTACACCTCTTAAATTTTGAGCACGACACTGACAAGAGGCCCATGGGCCACATCGCTCACCTGAGGATTGTGGCTAGGAAAAAAGCAACAACAAAAAATATAATATTGAAAAGCTTTAAACATAAGTTGTCCCAAAATGCTCCGGGGGTCATGATTTGAACAAACTTGAATCTACATTACCCGAGGATACTTCCATATAAATATGACTGATGTATGACGATCATTGCTTTATTTTTCTTCATAAGAAGATTTGAAGGATTTTCTTAATTATGTATTCCTATGTAAAATTTTTATCATCCATTGAACCCGGGAGTCTTGATTTGAACAAACTTGAATCTGCACATCTGATGAGGATGCTTCCATATAAATATGACCAATCATTGCTTTGTTGTTCTTGAGAAGAAGATTTATATAGACTTTTATTTCATATTCCTATGTAAAACTAAAATTGTCCATTGTGGCCCCAATCTGTCATGATTTGAGCAAATGTGAATCTTCACTACTTGAGGATGCTTCCATATAAATATAACCAATCATGGGTTTGTTGTTTTTTGAAGAAGATTTTTATTTTGAATATTCCTAAAGATTTTTTTTGTATATTCCTATGTAAAAATTTAAATAAATCGTCCTTTGTGACCCAAATCTACCCCGGGGACATACTTTGAACAAACTTGAATCCATACTACCTGAAGATGCTTCCACACTAGTTTAATTTTGTGTGACCAAGTGTTTCTTGAGAAGAATTTTTAAACATGCCACCAAATTTTCACTATTTCTTAATCATTATCACCCCTTGTAAAAGGGCATGGTCTATTATTTGAATAAATTCAAATATTCTTCAGTCAAGGATGCTTCGTGGTAAGTTTGTTTGAAATTGGTCCAGTGATTTTGGAGAAAATGTGTACCAGTTGTTAGAAACACAATATTAAGGATTGAAACCACAACTTGGACAGCTAGACACACAGTCTACAGACAAAACGTGATCAGAAAAGCTAACAAGTGTTAGGGTCTCAATAAAATTTGAGGAGGAAATTCTCATAAAATTTGAGAAGGAAATTCTCATAAGGGAATTTAAACAAGCAAATTAACAACCCTTACCCTGCCATAACTCCCACAGTGACGGCAAAACCAATCGCCAAAGGTGCCAGTTTGTGTTTCTTTTCGTCCATTGTTGTCATTAATACGGTCAGAATAAGCATAAAGGTCAGAATGGCCTCAGTCACAACTCCCCAGCCGGGCTCCGTTCTACTACTCAGTACTGTGGCCCCACCAGCACTTGAGTTGTAGTCTCTTTCTGATAAAATACCCTTGATAAAGAAGTATGAAAAACTATGGTCATGGTTTAATTGAGTCAAACTGCAAGGTCAAAAATGATGGCCAGTATTTGTTTTCTTACTGTGATGCTTGAATTATTTTCTTAAGGATATCCGATCCTCAGCCAGGAAGGATAACTCAAAAAATTAAGATTTAATTTGAAATACATCAAAATGAAGCTTGAAAATTAAATTTTTTCATGCACTAATTTTCATTTTATTCATCTTTATACGATTCAAGGTTTTTTGGAAGTCTTAAAAAGGTCTTATAAAAGTTGACATTTGTACCCTATAAAAGGAAAAAAAATAATACTGTTTCAGAGAAACAAGATTTTCTTGAATCAAGCCTTAGATACAAAGCCTATTAGCATGATATGAAATAAGAAGTAATTTGTGGTGTATTGCAATGAAAGCAAAAGCCTTTTACACTATGTATTATAGAAAACAGGACGGAAATATAAGACAAAAATACCAAATAAGTATAAAAATCATCACAATATCTCTGAATGCCTGAATACCTATCAGTTTTTAACCTAAAATATATTTATTTTGTTGATCAATTTGCAAAGAGAAAATGCATTGATGATATTCCAATGTGCTTTTCTGCAAAAATATTGGAGATTTGACAATTTTCCCTATATAATATGATTAACTTTAATCTTTAACTTTCAAGAAATACTGTGGATAAATTTACACAACTTTGTGGATTCAGAGATACGTTTATGATTATTTTTGATTACTTAACTGCTAATTTTATAAACCTGAGGATCAGACTACCTTAACGCTAAAATCATAATTCTTTGAAAGAATTGTTTGTGTGTGTTTAACTTTGTAATTGTTAATAAAGTTGATATGCAGTTTATTTTTATGCCCCTGTAATAAGAGATTTGGGGGTATATAGTTTTTTTGTCGTGTCTGTTCGTCTGTCTAGCTGTCTGTCTGTCTGTTTGTCTGCAAAAAATTAACCTTACCCATAACTTTTGATTTAGAGGAGCCATGGCTTTCATATTTCACATATGTATTTCTTCTGACAAGACCTTTCTTTGGGTACCACCGTCCTTTTGAACTTGGAGTTTGGCCCACTTACCCACAAAAATTCCAAACTTTTACTTTGGTCATAACTTTTGAACGGTAGGTAGCAGGACTTTCATATTTCACATATGTATTCTTTGTGGAAAGACCTTTCATTGGAAACCAACAGCCTTGACCTATTGACATTGGAGATTTCTGTACTCATGAAAAACTTTAACCTTGGCCATAACCTTTGATCAACAAGGGCTAAGGCTTTCATACTTCACACATGTAATCCTTGTGAGAAAACCTTTCATTGGATACCAAGAAATTTGACCTTGACCTTCGAGTTTGACCTACTTTTAAAAAACAAACCTTGACTATAACTTCTGAGGGGCTAGGGCTTTCATCCTTTACATTTTAATCCTTGTGACAAGACCTTTCAATGGATATCAAAAACTTTGACCTTAACCTTGGAGTTTGACCTACTTTTTAAAAAACTTTAACCTTGGTCATACATTTTGAACGGTTAGGTTAAGGTTTTCATACTTTACATATGTAATATTTGTGACAAGACCTTTCTTAAGAAACCAATAACTTTGACCTTTACACTGGAGTTTGACCTACCTTTTAAAAACTTATCCTTGTCCATAACTTTTGAACAGGTGGTTCTAGGGCTTTCATGGTTCACAATCGTATTTCTTGTAAGACCCTACTTTGGGTACTTGTATATATTTAATTTGCATTTAAGGTGGCTCATTACACCTACAGTTTATTTTAGATTTCATTACAGCATCACTTATAATGTAGATGTCAAATATCCGAATAGAGGTATTGATATCATAAATATTTTTTAGAGAATTTTTTAACTTTTTTCTAATTTTAGTGAAATGTTTTATTTCAAGTTTATAATTACCAGTCCAGAATTTCAGAACTTTCAGTGTCAAATGATGGACATCTCCTATAGACAAGTACACACAATTAAAATACCTCATAATACCTAATATATATATATTAATTAAATTAGAAAAAATAGTTTTCTCCCCAAAACCAATTAATGTCATTATCTTTTTAATCTGTGCATAATATATTAGGAAAATGAGCTCAATAGAGACGAGGAATGTATTTCAATGAATTGCATGAGACAAATTGAATGAAGAATGTTTTAACGAAATAAAAATTCCAATTCAAAAAATATTTGGAATAAAAGGTCCACTTTCAAGAGTTATCTTTCCTAATTACCAAAGACTCAAAACACTAAGGAACGTTTGAACATTACATCTAAAATTCAGAACAAATCTTTAAATTTCCAGTGTATATTTAAGGAATCACTGTCTAGTTAGGAGAGTATGCCAGGGCATACTCTCCTAACTAGACAGTGATTCCTTATATTTTCATTTCATTGTGAAATAAAATGGTAGATTTAGACCTTAAAAATGAAGACATAGACTTAAATTACACGAGGACTTTCATGCCAATTTCAATAGTCCTCGCCCAATGACTTCAAACACCTATGCAGCCGCACGAGACTTACATGCACATTTTGCCTCCTTAGCGTCAAACACAGAGACATTTGCGCACGAGATTTGCATGCATCTTAGGCCTCCTTAGCTTCTGGCCTATCGACCTGCCTAATTTACATTCCGGCAGAATTATCAAGAAATAAACTCCCTAAACTTTCAAAGAGTTATCATAGAGAAAAATAATTAGAAATGGAAATATATTTAAATCAATATAGGAAGTATATAAAACAACACTAGCACAGTTAATAGTGCAAGTAATTCACTTTTCTATTTCAACAAGATTGCAGATTTTAACTGGAATTTCCTCCAAACAAACATGTCTTTGATTGATAAAACTAACTGCTTCGCTATGACATTTTACATTACTTGTTTGGCGAAGATATGACTGCTGTTTTCTTTTGTTTCTGCTTAAAACAATCCTTCTTAGTTTATGCATAATGAATCCGTTACTTTGTCCTTTGTCCACTGTTTACAACAACTATTTTTAAGGGGTACCGACCCTCTGATATGACAAATAACTCTCAGAGACAGCCAGAGTACAAAATATGAATACTACTCACAGTTTTCTTAATCAGAGTTTCCTATTTTAGACCTCTGAGTAGTCAATTCGATGAAACCTAACCTGTGATGGAAACATTACTTTCTATTTCTTTTGCCAATCTCTTACTAATTGTTTTATTATATTTAACAATAAAACATTTAAGTCCTACTTCAAAAGCATTTTAAATTGAATAAGTTGTATTTTTTTAAAGACCATTTTAATAATGGTTTAATATTTCAAGTACTTAAGACAGAATTTTTATAAATATGACATTTTTTTCATATGAAGAAATCTTTAGAAGAAAGATAACTCCTCCTCACATATGTATTTTTTTTTTCTTACAACCACCTACAACATTGTAATTTTCTGACTTAGGAAGCATCGCTTCATGATGTTTTCTGACATGATTTTAATAGGTATTATACTAAGTATTATTTTCATATACACCTCATATTTCAAATTAAATGTTCTCTGTGTTGAAATTTCTTCATATCATGATCTGACATAAAAATCATTTCGGAAAAAATAAGCTGCGCTTCTTACATCAAACTACTTTCCATGTGGCTCTAATGTTATTGTTGTTCATGAAAATCAACATTAGAAATATTAAATTTTCTGAGTGAAATTTGATAGCAGAGGGTCGGGACCCCTTAAAGCGTTTTAAAGGTCAGGGTCATATTGTAAAGGTACCTGGACAATTCGCCCCCAGAGGAAAACGAACGAAACAATGGATGCTTATTTTTGTGTGTAGTACGTCATTAAAAAGTGGTGTAATGAGCCTCCTTAAGAAAAGTTTATTCTTTGATATGTCGCTATACGGTGGCATCAGTGTTTCACATTTTTTAACTCACCTGTTTGTATCTATTTCTATCGATAAGTAAAGGATGTGATAAATAATAGATATGCAAACTGTAATAAAAAATCATCCGGTTAACTAGTTACTCGATCGAAAGAGAAACCGGTTATTGTAGTACTTAAAATCATCCGATTTGACAAACTAATTGGCACCCAAAAGAAGGTTTTATCAAAAGAAAAACATTTGTAAAAGATGAATGCCATTGCACCAACCAATCAAAATTTATAGGACTGGTGAAAGTTTTTGCAGACAACTCAGAGAAAGACGGATGGACAGGGCAAAAACTACCGGTATATACCCAAAGGAGGTAAGAGTTTAAACTATGAAGTATATACATACGAAAACCAGGGATGCCCCAATCAGGCCTCCAAGCATCTGAGCTAAGATATAACATACTGCAACAAGGATAGGCACACCCCCACACAAAGTCACCGCAGCAGTAATGGCAGGGTTAAAATGCCCTCCACTACAAAACAGGCATTTTACAAAGTTTTATTTGCAATTCGAATTTTAGACCTTCAAAATTGGAAAAATATATTCAAATTCAAATGAATAAAATTTTAAACTTTAAAATTTCGGATACTCAAACCTACAAAAATGAATTTTCCCAGTCCTGCAATGAGGGAAACATAAGCAAAACCCTGTAGGAGACCTGATAAGTTGGTATTTTTTGCAGGAAATAAACACACAGTAAACACGAACAATGTAGTTCCGATGAACTCGGCTAGGACTGGACGAACGACTTTGTCTAAAAAAGAGTTTCCCTCAGCCATTTTTCAGGCACGATATAATCAGGGGGACACGACCTGGCATCCCCACTTTTAACTCCCGACATTACGTTTTATAGAAAATGTTTTTTTAAAGGACAGGTTTAACCAAACATTTTGCACAATGTAGTGTTATAAAGAAAATTTACACAAAAATAATTTCAAATGAAAGATAGTTCTCTCATATGATAATATAAAACCCCATCCCCACGAAATAGGATTTTCGAAGGTGGTCAACTTCATTTAATATTTGGTTTTTTTTATTTTTTTTTTCTTCTTGTCAACTTTTTCAAAGTAAAAAAAATTTTCTTAATTTTATCCCCCGACTTTCAAAAACGATGCTACGTGCCTGCAAAGGAAGTTAAGAAATTAATTTGTGCATAAGTAGATACTTTCACGTATATTGGGTTTCCGGGGCAGCATATTAGGGAAATGCGTAATAAATAAAAATGAATCAATGATAACATTGTTAGATTGAGAGGATTGTGAAATATGCCTTTATTTAAGGACAGATGAAACAAACAAACTTTTATCCAAAATTTAAAATTAATGAGTAAAATATATAATTTAACTGCTTAACAATTACATTAAATGTTTTACAATAAGAAGAGACAAAATGTGTTGGTAAACATTTTAATGACCCCGTCATAGGCAGCTTATTTTATTTTTAAAATTTTCTCAAATGCTTGTCGACATGAAAAGTCAGTATTTGATATCCAAAGTAAAATAATTGTCACAAGAAATAGACCTGTTAAATATCAAAATTATAACTAACTGTTTAAAAGTTATTACCAATGTTAAAGTTTTAAACCCTAGTGGGCAGACTACTAAGGTCCAGGTCAAATAGGTAAAAAATATTTATAGCCACTGAAAGTGATCACATTGAATACATTTATTAAATGATAAAAGTATATAACACAGATAAAGTTATGGCTTGGGTTAAAGAGTGGTATTTGTGTAGTACAAAGAACTAAATTTGGCAACGGTTGCAAACAAACATTTGATTTGGCAAAAATATTTTGACAAATAAAAATATATAAATACAAAGTTGTGAAATATGCTGCCAATATTTTTAAACAAACAAAGTATTTAAAAAGGAAAAAATTAATAAAGTCCAAAACTTGGATGGCAAGTAAGATGGCACAAGGTCTATATTCACAGATTAATTCTTTACAAAACATAATCCTTGAGTACCACCAAATTTGACCCTTTGACACTGACCTTGGAGTTTGACATACTTTTACCAAAAATATCAAACTTCTACTCTGGCCAAAACTTTTGAACGATTGTTGCTAGGACTTTCATACTTCACATAAAAAAATCCTTGTGACAAGATTTTTCATTCTTTACTGATATAATCCTTGTGACACGACCTTTCATCGAATACTAACAAATTTGACATTGACCTTGGTCTTTGACCTCCTCTTAAAAAGTTAAATCTTGACCATAACTTTTGAACGGTTATGGCTAGGGCTTTCATACTTCACTATTCCTTGTGACAAGACCTTTCTTCATTGACGCTGGAATTGAACTTCCTTTTAAAAACTTAACCCTGATCATAACTTTTGAAAAGGTGCTGCTAGAGCATTCATATTTCACAATTGTATTCCTTATAAAAAGGTATTAATTTTGGAACCAACATATTTAATTGGCATTTGAGAAAGTTTAACCTTCGCTATGTTGCCACATGGGGGCATATATATATGCATATATACCTATTTTGAATTGTATTAGATGTTTTTTGAGTAATTCAAGGCACCTTCTTTTATTCAATTCATTTTATTGCTATTGGACTTTGGCGGAGAACGATGACTTTTACAGTCGATGGCTTACTTTTACACTTAGACAATATACAGAGGCTCTTTATCGATAAAACTATTTAGCTCAACATTTAATTAAACGAAAATAATAGCTGAAGTGAGCACATATAAGTGGCCTATGAAGAATCCGACAACAACTCTACCCTAAAATTACGCTCTTTACATGCTAGTGTCCCAAACACCACACCATTGACCACAAGAAAGGATTCCTTATCCAATATCAATTATTTACATCCGTACATGACACAGGTTTTAATGTCAAAGTAAACCGTCAACTGTAAAAGTTCTTATAGCAAAAGTCCATTAAATATATCGACTTTAAATATACATGTATTTATTATAAGAAATTGAACAAAGCAACATTTTTATAACATCATTATAGTAGTGTCGATAGGTAAAAAATAAATATACATGTATTGTAATATCGATAATAAATACAATATTGCTATTGAATTAACTTCTAGTGGCGGGAATTCTAATGAATCTGCAAGCCAATCGGAATTCAGTGAAGACTCTTGTACCGTTTATTTTCAATAGTACAAGCTGATACAGATTCAACTAGAGGTACATTGTATATTTCATATGATTAACACAACCATTTCAATCCTTTCTCTTTTAAAACTTTGTGACTATTTTCATACATAATGCGGCAGCAGTAATTGCAGGGTTAAATACCCACCACTACAATAGATGAAGTTAAGAAAGTGGGTTTTTTTTTGTTTTTTTGTTTTTTTTCAAAAATCAAATTTCAGTCCTTTTGCGTTGAAACAAAAATACATTCAGGAATCTGTCCCAGCAAGTGCAAATCATTTTCACAGTTTTTTTTTCATTTTCTTTTCACTACCTCATATATTTCAATTAACAAATAAAAAAGGTATAAGAACAAAAATCAGTAACTATTATGGAGAGTTTCACTTCACAGTAAGACTACTGAATGCAGATTGTGTTTGTTTGAGCTGTAGACAGTCATATGTCGGATACTTAAGTCTTCTTGATTTTTCTTAAGCCTACAATAAGAAAAATATAAGCAAACCCCGTAGGATGCCCGAACTAGGAAATAACAAAAATAACAGAAAAACGAACAGATTAGTTCTGATGAGCTCGGCTAGGACAGGACGAACGACTTTGTCTTTGAAAGAAAAACAAGATTTCTGATAGAAGGGTGTTCTGGCGTACGCCCATCTGTCATCTGCTAACATTTCCCATTTTCGATTCTTCAAGAACGTATGGAACAATTTCATCCAAACTCACCACAAGGCATCTTTGGGTAAAGGAGACTTGCTTTGTAGAAATGAAAGGCTTTGCCCTTTTCCAAGGGGATGTAAATAAAAACTGAGAAAATTAAATGGCATTATTTAAAACTCTCCTTCTCTATACAAATTTGGCAAGAGAAGATGAAACCTTTGTGAAATCGTCAATAAACAGTTCATACTCTCATGCAGCTTGGAATTGGCACAATAGATTGAATTGTTCATTTGAATACAAGGGGAAAATTTTGAAAAATCTTCTTCATAAGAACAGCAAAAGATTAGCTAAGGATACATCGATATCCTCAGGTAGTGTACTTCAAGTTAACTTATTCAAATCATGACACCAGGAGTAGGGTGGGAACAGAATGTGCAATCGATCCAGGTTTTACAGAGGAATGCAAAAGAAACTCTTATGAACAGAATAGCCATGGTTTGTCGTATTTATAATGAAGCATGCTAAGGTAGTGTAGATTCAAGTTGCCACATATTGCTTTACGCTGAACTTGTAACTTTTTATGTAATGTGTAAGACACACTTCTTAATATTTCACTGTTTTCATTTGGTTGCTTAACGTCACTCTCAAGAATTTTTAATTCATACGGTGATGCCACCATTGGCTGCAAATAGACCTATAAATGGCACCATGAACCAGAAAAGAATCACCTACTGTGACACGAGACTTGGTTTATACGGTATCATCCAATGCACCGGTCTATACGTCCCACAATAGGATTCTAACCAGCAACGTAAAGATCAACTCCTTATTCCACAACTCTAGAGCAGACGATCAAACCACTTTTGTTACATCACTGTACATGGCGATTAATTTTAATTTGTAGTTTAAGCAATTTACAGTTGATTTTCATTTATTTGTAAAATGTATACAATAAAACAAAACTTGAACAACAAATATATATTGACAAAGTTTCTGCTCGTATGTACATAATTTGTAGATAAAATTCACGAACATTTGTACCCTACGAAATATGATGATTCCATATTATGTTTCCTAAGGTCCCTTTTCTAGATATGTCTTTTGCATCAATATACTAAGATATAATTATTATCAATAACTGTAATTATAATATTGATACAAAGCATTTTGCTGGATCCTGGAGAAAGGCACCATACCATATTCAAAAATAACATTTTACATGTATTAAATTTTTTTAACATAATTAAAAAAAAAACTTTTAAAAACTTTATAAATAATACTCAAGAAAGAGAATAAATTCATACTTCATACTAAGTTATTAATTAGTTTATCGTTCAATGTAGAGTCTTCTGTTTCCTGTAGCAAATAACATCCTGAAATTAAAGATATAACATTAGTTCTTTAAAACTTTCTTTTGTAGTTGTAATTGTCTTTAGTTGAAATGTAATGGTGCTTGCAGAAACATATGTACTATCTACGTTTGTTTCTTTGATTTTTTTTCGCCGTATTCTTTAATATATGAAAGAATTGTCTTTTTTTCCATTACCCTTTAATTTTTTTTTTTGGTGAATTGAATGCTATGATTTCATTGCGCGGTATTCCACGCAGGTTTCCATTCCTAAAAGATGTTTCTACAATTACCATCCCTGAATGTGTACAAATAATTTCTACAGTCACCAGAAAAATTTAATGGTAACGCAAGACATGCAACGCATTCTGTAAATGGATGTCCTTAGAATAAACTTACTTATATAAAAGAGCTGCCACACCGGCTCCACATATAGGACCAAACCAGTATACGTAATGATGTTCCCAAACATTAACGTCCCCATATTTAGAGTATGCAACAGCGGGTCCAAAGCTTCTAGCTGGATTCATAGACGCCCCCGTTGTTTTTGCCCTGTCGTGAAATTAATAAGGATAGATCAGACGTATTTTCTATGAATTTTTTCACAGAAATTCATGATGATCTATATAGATGCTCACTTCTTCATGGCACCTGATCCCACCTCTGATTTTAGAGGTCAGCGTTTGCTCTGCTTCAAATTTGTATTGTTCTATGAACTTTTGAGCTTGAATACAGTTCGTTATCTCCACATACTAGTATTTCATACATAACTTAAACTGAAGATGAATCTTGTTCTTTGAAGTTTCTTAAAATTATAACTTTACCCTGCAATAATGTCTACAGCCACTGAAAATCCGATAGCCAAGGGAGCTAACTTAGTCTTGTTTTCATCTACTGCGGTTAAAAGAACGGTGAACACTAATAAAAAGGTCAGTATGCCCTCAGCCAGTATCGCCCAGCCCGGATATACGCCACTTCCCAGAGTATGCGCGCCGCCAGTTATACTTTTATACACAGTTTCTGGTAGAACTGCCTGAAAAATACTAGAACCGGTGTATTTTTGAAAATATCAAAAAAATCTTCAATCTTATGGGAAATTTATAATAGATGTATTCAATTTTAAATTAAATGATGGATTTTTTTTAATTTCTAATAATATATATGTTAACAAAGAAGTAGCATGATGTCATTGTTTTTTTTTTTAGAATATGACCATGGAATTATATGCATGGGAGGACTCACCAAAACAAAGGCCGCGCCAACCATTCCTCCTATAAGCTGAGCCAAAACGTAAAAGATACTGGCGACCCAATGCATTCCTCCCGACAGCGTTACCCCAAGTGTTACGACTGGGTTAAAGTGACCACCACTGAAAATAAAATTCAAAATTCAGATTCTCCGAACCCAGGCAAATTTCTAGAAAAGTGAGAGAAAATTTGTTATTGTAATTTCTGTTTAACCAAACGAAGTTTGGATCAAAATGCAGGTTAAATATGTCATTTGAGCATCTTTCTGGAATTCTTCGATCTTTAAAAAGATAATTTCGAAAAGGATTCACTGGGTTAAAGCTAACTTACATGTTATAGTTTTCAGTATCTTTCTTTTTTTTTTTGTCATAACGTTTAATTTTTTGACATAAGTTCTTACAGAAGCCGGTAGGTTAAAAAGATATGGCGACCGCCAGATACGTTATTTGGTGCCCGCCAGTTATTTATGTGTAAAATGGCACCAACAGGCTTACGTCAGTTCTAGACATATTTTTTCAAGAATAAACTAGAGGTACTGTGAACCCTGAGCTCATTAAATGATACCTCCGCCCCCCCCCCCCCCCCCCAAGATTAGAATGTTTGGCTCTGGGAGATCTGAAATGAGTCTCGGGTCAATCAATATAAGAGAAAGACGGACGTATATAGACAGACGGACGGAAGTACAGCTAGACGTCCTTCCGTCCGTCCGTCTGTTACACTTTAGGGTTCTTATCTCTTTATCCACAACTCCTCTTTTATCACAGAATAAAATTTAATTAGACTTTCACAGAATGAATCTCCATTACATAGTGCCATTTTGACCTCCCATTTCACTTTTTTGATCCGACACATATTTTGGGTTTCCCATAGCAAAACAAGGACACTGCCATTCTTTCAATAATATTGAAGAGTATCTCTTATCCGCAAATCATCCTATACCACTGAATGAAATTTAATGATACTTACACAGATTCTTTATTAAATGACATTGTGCACATTCTATTTTACTTTATGATGATATGGTCGGACACTCATTTCATCTGCTAAACCAAAAGAGTTTTTGAAATACTTTCAAAATTCAAACTAGGTTTGGAATTTGATATTTTGGATATTTGAAGTAAACTTCTAAAAACTCAAAATGTAAAAAAGTGTTTTGGTAATTTAAAAATTGAGTGTTTGAATCAAAATTCTAAATTTCTAAATATCTAAAACGTTTGAAAGTTGGAAATTAAAAGTAACTTATAAATAATCAAAAGACGAAAAATATTATTCAATTTTAGATTGATAAGCTTAAACTTTCTGAAGGGACGGTAGATTAAAAACTCAAAAATTTAAAGTACAAAATTTGTTTTTGGAAATTTAAATTTTGAATATTTAAGGTAAAAAATCTAAAACCTTAAAATTCTAAAACCTATTTGGAAATTTGAAAATTTAGATTTTTGAACTAAAATATTAAATTTTCAATATAAAAAATTAGAAATTTGAATTAATATATTAATATTCTAAAACTCAAAATCATTTTAGAAATTTAAATTGTTAAGTGTTACATGGACCAGTTATAAAAATGCACATGAACAAATATTCATATATTATCATTATATCATATCATGCATTATACAGCTCCACCCCATTAGATCCACACCAACTAAATACATACAAACCTAATTTTCCCAAGTCCTGCAATCAGGACAACTATGGTCAGTCCATGAGCAATGGCGATAGGTGCCACAACCTGGGTCTGGACAGCCATACATCCAACGAATACAAAGACGATGGTGCCGAAAAATTCGGCCAACGATGGACGAACAACTCTATCGTAAAATGAATCCGCAGCACCACGGTTAATGAGA